GCAGGACATCAGCTCACCCTAACCCAGGTAACTTCCAAGGGAACCTGCATAGGAAAACCTTCTTCCAACTTTAGCCTCTGCAGCGAGGTGGTCCCGGTGCCAGCAGGCAGCTACTACCTAGTCCCTCCAAATGGCTCCTATTGGGCATGTAGTACAGGACTTACCCCTTGTGTGTCAGCTGCAGTGTTGAATACATCCAAGGATTTTTGCGTTTTGATTCAACTGTGGCCCAGAATTTACTGGCACCAAGATGGGGAAGTACTAAGATATTTTGAAAACTCTCCCATCAGATTCAAGCGAGAGCCAATCTCCCTCACTTTGGCCGTCCTACTAGGGGCAGGGGGAATTGCAACAGTGCTTGTGCGCACAGATCAATATATGCTCCTACATCAAGCAATGAATCAGGACTTAATAGCCTTAGAAAAGTCCGTACGGGCACTTAAGGAATCTCTAACCTCCCTATCTGAAGTCGTGTTGCAAAACAGGCGAGGACTAGATCTACTATTCCTGCAGCAGGGAGGACTCTGTGCCGCACTAAAAGAAAAATGTTGCTTCTATGCAGATCGGACCAGAGTAGTAACTGAAACCTTAGACAATCTCAGAAAAAGACTCGAAGAAAGAAAATAGTACTTCGAGTCCCAACAAGGATGGTTCGAGGGACTATACAATAAGTCTCCTTGGTTCACCACGTTGGTGTCCACACTAGCCGGACCCTTAATTCTCTTATTCCTCCTCCTGACCCTGGGGCCCTGTGTACTAAACCGGCTGGTTCAATTTGTCAAAGATAGACTATCTGTTGTACAGGCTCTAGTACTCACCAGTCAGAACAGAATGCTTCAGGATCAGGAACCTGATTTACTGTAAGTGAAGGATTTCACTTAGTTACAAGGAAAAGGGAGGAATGAAAGACCCGACTGACAGCAGGAAGGCCATTTTAGAAAAAGTACTGTAATCAGCCATTCGATAAGCCAAGATTCTAACCCAGGTCTTGTGAAACTAGCAGTGGAAGATAGGACGTTTGCAGTCGGACCACCTGCCACCACCCTGAGGCCCCTACCGGGAAGTTAGTGATAACAGCCCCTACTGGGAAGTTAACGATAACAATCGGTTTCACCCATAGCCCCCTCTGAATTTGGCAATACTGTTTCCTCATACCTTGTACCCATTGAAATGCACTAATAATAACCTTGTAACCATGCATCTGCTTCTGTACCTTGCTTCTGCTCTATAAAAAGCCCCCCCCCAAACTAAGCCCGGCGCGCAAGTCCTGACCCGAGCGGGACTCTGCATCCGCAGGCACCTGTGTACGAATAAACTCCTCTTGCTTTTGCATCCCGAAACTTGGTTTTGTCCCTGTGTGTTAAGTGCGATTCTTCACTATATCAATGTCAATGGCTGCTATCAGGTTAGTATAATGCTGTGTTGCTAAAGATGCCACCCCGGTCCCTGCTCCTGCTAGTCCCAATCCCAAAAGCACACTTAACGTCAGGGCAGTGGCTGCTTTCCTCCTGGTTTGCATGGTATTTGCATCTAAGTCTTGGAGCATTTCTTCATTTGAGTGGTATATCAACTGGGGAATGAGCAGGACCAGGACACAAAAACTCTGGGTGTCATTAAGGACTCGGGTATACATGCAGGGAGTGAGTCCTGTGGTGCAGGTCCACCAAGTGTCTGCAGGAGGGATGAGATACATGGGGGTAGTGGTGTTGACGACAATGGTGGTATTGCACAAAGGGCGGGGGGGGTTGGCTCGCATACTGGCAATGCACAGCCCCTGGCCTGACACCTGCTGGAGGATCAGCATAGCTTTTTGTTGCCAGCAACATTGGCTCAAATCTGAGGATTGGTTGTATCCACCCTCTATTGCTATTCCTTCGTAGTTGGGGGCGCTGTCTCATAACAAAGCTAGCAGGAGTTAGTCAAATCAGGTCGAGAGGGGTTCAGCACCCAAAAGGACCATTCCAATAGTTGGAGCAGGGGATCCTCCCACCTCGGGGTAACAGGGGGGCGGGTGGTAATGACAGATCCTGGATTGGGTGAGGCTGTTACTCTGTCAGGATCATTAAGCTGTGGGGGCATCTTGGGAGAGCTAGCTGGTTCTGATTCGGCAATGACCAGATTAGGTCCTACTGAGTGAGGCTGCAGTGGACTGGCCATTCATTTTATAGTGAATAATAGCACTTGATCATATTCCGATTAATATAACCTTAGCCCCCAGGTGCATCCTGCTTCCCATCCAGTGAAGGCTTTCCCTTGGTCTGTCCATTCTATGGAGACCAGGTTACATAAGAACTTAGAGCATTCCCCATAGAGGGGGTTCCTGGCCTTCCTGGGGACATGTATTCTGCTTACCGTAATGAGATCGTCCCTGATTGAGGGCTCCCAGTACATGTCCCCTGTAGACTCACATCCCCAAGACTTACAGTAAAATTGATCCACCCCTCCACAGTTGTTTATCTGTACCTTTTTTCTCCCTCCTCCTGGGCAAATGTAAAAGGGCATCTGTTGCAGGTTGGCCTGGTTAAGCACAGGACTGCACCCCGGGCCTCAGGCCTTTACTGGGGGCAGGGTGCAACCCCTGCCGCCTTCTCTGCATTCGGGTCTTCCCTTCAACTCCATTCCCCAAAGTCCAATGTCCCAAATCCCCACAGCCAAATGGCAAATGTCAAATTGGAGGGTAGGCCATCCCTGGCCCCTGGGGCCCTGGATGGTGGTAGAATTCACTATTTCTCTGGTACCAGTATTAATAATTAACCAGGTTAAGTTGAAAGAGGCATGGGGGTTAGGGAGAGCAGTGGAATCTACAGAGCAAATATCAGCATGAAACAGTAAAGCAAGTATTAAGAACAACTTAATCTTAACTTGAGGGGATTGTCCAGTATACAAGTCACTTTCCATCTCCCATCCAGGTCATCTGAGTGGCCTCTGGGCACCAGCTTCAGATGAGAATGATGTATCCAGGTCTTGATACTGTCCACCTTAGCGGCTGTGGGGGTGATGAGTATCACAGTATGTGGTCCCTTCCAGCGAGGTTCCAGGGCTTCTTTGTGGTACCGTTTTACCCAGATGAGGTCTCCAGGCTTGAACCCGTGTGGTCAGCTCAGGGGCAGGTCATACATATGTCTCAACAAGGGAAAGATGTTGTTTTGTGTCATCTGTAGTGCCTGGATGGACTTAAGAAATTGAAATTCGGACATATCATTTATGACATCAGAGGGTAGCTTAGGGAGTAACGGGGGAGGCCTCCCATACATGATTTCATAAGGGGTCAGACCATACATATAAGGGGTATTTCTAACCCAATATAGGGCAAAAGGAAGGAGGCCCACCCAGTCTTCACCAGTTTCCAAGGTTAATTTAGTCAAGGTCTCCTTAAGGGTCTGATTCATTCTCTCTACCTGACCTGAACTCTGGGGATGATAAGCACAATGAAGCTTCCAATTGGTCCCCAATGTTTTTAGCAGTCCCTGTGTTACCTTAGATGCAAATGCAGGCCCATTGTCTGATCCTATAACTGAAGGCAGACCATACCTGGGGACCGGTTTGTCCAAAATCTTTTTGACCACTGTGGAGGCTGTTTCCTCTCTTGTGGGGAAGGCTTCTGTCCATCCTGAAAAGGTATCTATAAACACTAGGAGATGCCGATAATCAAATCTGCCTGGTTTTACCTCTGTGAAGTCCACCTCCCAATGGACCCCAGGCAGTGTCCCTCTTTCTCTCCTCCCCATGGGGCTGTTCATTTTCCGGGGATTAGTGGTTTAGCCAGACAGGCTTCTATTAAAGGTTGTAAATTGAAAATCTTGTATGGGACTACAAGCTCTTTTAGTTTTCTTTGTCCTAGATGGGTCCCGTGGTGGAGTCCTTGAATCAGAGTGGTTGCTGGTTCCTGAGGTAGGATTATCTGACCATCTGTGGTGTGTCTCCATCCATCTTTAATTGTTGTACGAGGCAACGTGGCAAAATTATCATCATCCTCCTTCAAATAGGTGGGTCGGTCCGGCAAGGTGGGGGGTGGTAAAGCTATCATCAAGCTCACAGTTTGTAAGGCTGCCTCTTTGGCTGCCTGGTCTGCTCTCTGGTTCCCTTGAGCCTCCGGAGAATACCCCTTCTGGTGTCCAGGGCAGTGGACAATAGCAAGCCTCCGGGGTAGCCAGAGGGTGGAGAGTAAGGACAGGATCTCCTGCTTATTTTTGATAGTCTTTCCCTCCGCTGTGAGTAGGCCTCTCTCCTTATAGATGGCCCCATGGACATGGGCTGTGGCAAAGGC